AGGCAGATTGACCTCTGTGACCTCAAGGTGTGGTGGTACACGCCTTTGGTCCCAATGCCTGGGAGGCAGAGACAGGCAGATCTCTGTGAGTTCAAGGTGTTGTAGCACACGCCTTTAATCCCAGCGCATGTGCTTGGTAACTTACTACTGCTGCGTCCCTGCCTACTTCCGAGGCATCATCTGGGATAATGGGCAGCGGACCAATCCAAGAGTGACACGTCAGAAGCGAGGACTGTTTCCTTTATAAGGGCTGGGTTCCCCTCATTCTGGGTCTCCGCCATGTAAGCTTATGCTCTCCCTCTCAAGACGCATTAAAGCTTTACTGCAGAAGAATCCTAAGTGCCCCTCGTCGTTCTTGCGGGCGAGAAGGTAGCGCGGGACATGCGCACACGCACGTGCGTGTGCATGCACTTTATGCTGTCTCCTCTTCTTCCTGCAGGTTTGAGGTGGGCTAACTCAGTCCAAGCCTCGCGCCCTGGCCTCAATGTCAAGTCTGGCATCTCCTCAGCCTGTGCAGCCAGGTATCTGCCATGCAGCCACCACGCGCCCTGGTGTCCCCTAGCAGTGACCTCAGTCCCATCACCCTGCAGGACTGAAACAGGCAAAGCCAGGAGCTCTTTTTAGACCCTGGGGTGAAGGAGGCCCTGCGCTTAGGGCAGGGCTGTATCAGAGGGGTGGTTGGTTGGAGCATCCTGTCCAGTGTGAAGGGGCAGGGCCGGGGCAGACACCGAAGTATGTCCTCATCCGCACCCCCTTTCCCTCCCCTTGCAGGGCCCCCTGGGGGCAGCAGGGCTTCTCCTGGGCAAAGCACAGGCGAGTCTGAACTAGCCTCTCAGAAAACACATTTACTCAGCCTGTACCCCAAGACCTGTCTGAGGAGGCCTAAGCAGCCCACTTTCTAAACCCCTGAACTGTCCACACCCACAAGCCAGCTCCTACGGCTCAGAGTCCAGACGGCCTGGTCCTTCACTTCCTACTGTGTTACTCCTGGCCAATGACTAAACCTCTCTCAGTTTGTTGGTTTGTTTGCTTTTTATGAAGTGTGAGTCAGGCTAGGACTTCCCTCACAGTCTTGTTGGGGAGATTAAACAAACTAAAACAGTTAAAAAAAAATAGTTAAACAAAAACCCCAAAACCAACCAACCAACCAAAATCAATAAAAAAAAAATAAAAATAAAAAAAACACCTTTTTTTGAAGCCTGATTTGTGTTTGGCCCATGATAAAGAGACAATGATTATTCCATGACCCACATACAGGCCTCAGGTGCCTGGTTGTCATGGTTACAAGGTAGCCATTTTCTTTCCATGGACCTTCATTGTTTAATGCAATTAATACTGACTGCCAGAGACTTGCATTTGGATTCAGTAACTCCAGTCCTACAAATAAGGAAACTTAAGGCTCAGAGATGTTAAGGAATTGGTCCTACATCACACAGCTGAAGTTAAGGTCAATGCCTTCTGGCTGAATCCACACTACTGACTGACCTTTGTGGGGTCTGGCTTGCTTTTATCCAAATCAGTCCTGGGGCTTGACTATCACATGCAGACTCTAGGACCCCTGATTCTGAGTGCAGCCTGGGAACCTGCATTCTGGAAGCTCCCTCCAGCCACATCGCTATGACACAGACTCAGTACTGCCACTTCCTCGTCTCCTGTCCCCACAGAGGCCACTCCAAGTGACCCTGGTTATCCAGGGGCTGTCGCCCCAGCCCGGGAGGAGAGGACAGGATCCACAGGGGCCTTCCCGTCAGCTTCCCACACTGCAGTCCCCTATTCCCAGGCGGCCCCTGCCAGTCAGCCGCCACCTGCAGAGGAAGAGGAGGAAGTCAATAGCTATGACTGGGATGAAGCAAGTAGGTGGCTCTGGGGGAAAGGAGGCCTGCTGGGAAAAGTCACCCCGAAACTGAGCTTGGGATGGGGCGGGAATGGGGCTCTGGAGTCAATAGATGCCCCCTTACCGCTAACATGTGGACCCTCAAAAATTTTGTGGTTCAGGGCCTTGCCTGTGCTGGGAAAGGGCTACTGCTCTCTGCTTCCCAGTGCTGGAACAACTGGTGAGCGCCACCGTGTGGCCAGTATTGGTACCATATGTCTTATTGGGGTATTTCTATCCTACAAAACCTGAAGCCCCTTGTACATAGTCTCCACTAGAGACCGCCTCCCTCAGTATTCTGGTTAAAGGGTGATTCTGTTTCTGCAAGAGGCCACAGTCATTTCTACATCATCTCTGTTAATCCTGACCAATGGTGCATGTATTTGTGTGTGCCTGTGTGCGTGCGTGTGTGTCATGTATTTATGTGAGTGTGTCTCTGTGTCTGTGTGTGTCTTCGTATCTGTGTCTGTACATGTGTCTGTGTATATGCCTGTGTGTATGTCTCTCTGTGTGTTTCTGTGTGTGTGTGTGTGTGTGTGTGTGTGTGTTTGTGAGCTGCCATGTGGGTTCTTGGAATAAAACCAGGGTTCCCTGGAAGAGCAGCTGGAGCTTTTAAATACTCGGTTTAAGATGGCTCTTAAACTGAGCCGTCTCTCCAGCCTTCCCTCTGAGATGGGTTTCACTATGCTGTCCCGGCTGGCCTAAAAGGTGCTGTAGAGACCAGGCTGGCCTCCGATCACGAGGACCCTCCAACTTTGCCTCTTGAGTGCTGAGATTAAAGGCGAGCACCAGCATACCTAGCATTACTTTTTATCTTTATTTGTATGTGTGTGTGCTCCTGAGTATAACTCCATGTACTGTCTGTACAATACCCACAATGCTTTTAGTACTGAACCCTTTCTCCAGCCGCACAGTGTTGATTCCTAAGGAACACTTTCTTCACCCTCTTATGGATCTATATCTGTATATTTACAAAAACATATATATGATAAACATACAGTCCTGCTGAATAATGAGAGTTTAGGGTGGCGACAGATGTTTCTTTATGAGTTCTTCTCTGGGTAGAATGCAAGGAAACAGAGGCATGGATGGACCTTGTGAGAAGCCATGAAGCCATTGGCTGTCCCGGTCTGGCTTATTTGCATAGCCCTGCCTTCCCGGGAAATCGAAACTGAAAAGCAGCTGCGCCCAGCTCAACACTCAGGAGGGGGAGACGCTATAGATGGAAAGCTTCAGGGCCTGAGGATGGGGCAGGGACTCAGCAACACCCCAGCCTCAGAGCTGGACAAGTTCATAGAGGACCACCTCCTTCCCGACACCAGCTTCCGTAATGATGTCAGAGCCGTCATCGATGTCATGTGTACTTTTCTGAAGGAGAGATGCTTCAAAGGCGCCGCCCACCCTGTGAGGGTCTCCAAGGTGGTGAAGGTGAGTCCCCCTCAGCCTGAACTGACCCGGATGGGGTGGGTGAGGACCCTCAGGAGCCAAGCTGCAGCCCTGATCCCCTCTCTTCACTTCCAATCACAGCAGCGGAGCGGGTTCTGCCCCCAGGTCCCACATCTGTGTTAGAAAAAGAGCCTCAGCTACAGTTTGTGTTCCACCCTCCCAGGCCACATCCGTTTCAGAGTCAGGGAAACTGAGGCCAATCTTGGGAAGCAGTTTTCTCGAGAGTAGTAGATCGAAGGACCCAATATTCGCACTGCTATGTGACCTTGGATGAGTGAATCACCATCTCCACGCCCAGGGTTCTCTGCACACCTCCTAAGTCAGATGTGACAGGGGACAGAACAAGACCCCACATGCTGGGTGACTGGATTGATGCACCCTGACTGAGCTCGGTTCTGGGTCTCGGACTTCATCAGTACCTAATTCACTGTGAAGGCTTCGGAAATAAAGTTCTTTTCTTTTCTTTTTCTTTCTTTTTTTTTTAGTTGATTTTATTTTTATTTTTTAATTGTGTGGAAGGGCACTGTGCCTGTGTTAGTGCGGTGTCCTCAGAGTTAAAAAGCGGGCGTCACATCCCGTTAGCTGAAGTTGCACAGGTGACTGTGAGCTGGCCTATGCGGGTGCTGGTCTCTGAGCTGGGGACAGCTGTAAGAACAGCAGGGGCTTTTAACTACCGAGCCACCTCTCCAGTGGCTACCATATCCTCAGATATGACATTTTATAATGGCCACTCCACAGCGGCTGGTGCTCCCGTGAGGGGACTGTTCTCAGCAGGAGTCCTTTTTAAAATACTTTATTTCACACGTGGGTCTCGTTTTCCTAAACCTTTTCTGTTGCTCTATGATTTTTGTGTTATTTTATATTACATAAGGCAGTTTTCTTCCAAGTATGTGATGTTGTGTGAGCATATTCCACCAACTAACAATGCCAACAAGGAGGATCAGGACAATGGTGTCATAGGTCTGTGTTAATTTACCCACAGTCTCCCCTCGCCCACTACCATCCTTTACTCCCACGCTAACCTCCCCCGGAGAATCCCCCTCTGATTTCATGTCACATGTGTGCAGCTAGATCTGGATTCCACATGAGAGAAAATGTGCCGTTTTGTCTTCCCTCATGACCCACTCTTGCTCCTCTTCCTTTAGACCCCTCTCCCACCTTCCCCACATAGTCCTCCCTCCCTCCCTCCCCCCCTTCTCTCTCTGTTGTCAGAGTTTTCTGTCCTGCCAGGTTCCCACAGTCGTTAATTCCCAAAGAAATCATACGGAGGTCTACGTTAACTATAAACTGATTGGCCCATTAGCTCAGGCTTCTTATTAACTCTTACATTAGCCCATTATTCTAGTATATATTAGCCAAATGGCTCGGTACCTTTTTCAGCGAGGCAGTCTCACATCTTGCTTCTTCTGTGGCAGGTTCACAACTGTACTATGACTTCCTTCTTCCCAGAATTCTGTTCTCATTGACCTGCCTATACTTCCTGTCTGGCTATTGGCCAATCAGCATTTATTTAAAATATAATAGACAAAATACAGACCATTCTCCAACACCCTCTCCCACCCTTCCTCTCTCTCTCTTATGAAAATCTAGACACCAGAGATGAACATTGATGTCTGTCATTCTGTATCTGGCTTATCTTCTGTGCCATGAGGAGATTCAGAACCATCTATTTTCCTACATAGATCCTGATTTCTCTCTTGGTGCTGACTAGTATTCCACTGCACATGTGCCGGCTTTCTCTAACCAACCATCTCCTGGGTGGTGGACCTCTAGGCTGTTGAGGGTCTGGACTTCTGGCTATGGCTCTGCCTATTGCCTGTCATTCTCATCCTTGTCTTTCAGGGCGGCTCCTCAGGAAAAGGCACAGCTCTAAAGGGCAGGTCAGATGCTGACCTGGTGGTGTTCCTGAACAATCTCACCTGCTTCGAGGACCAGTTAAACCGACGCGGAGAGTTCATCCAGGAAATTAAGAAACAACTGCACAAATTTCAGAGAGAGAGACATATTTGGGTGAAGTTTGAGGTTCAGAGTTCATGGTGGTCCAACCCCCGAGCACTCAGCTTCAAGCTGAGCTCCCCACAGCTTCGCCAGGAGGTGGAGTTTGATGTGTTACCAGCCTATGATGTCCTGGGTAAGGCAGTCAGTCTCAGCTCGCCCTTCCATTCTCTCTTTTGTTTCTTTCTCTCTGTGGTGTGTGTGTGTGTGTGTGTGTGTGTGTGTGTGTGTGTGTGTGTGAGAGAGAGAGAGAGAGAGAGAGAGAGAGAGAGAGAGAGAGAGAGATTTGGGTTCACTTGTGTGTGAGTTCGATCATGAACTGTGGCTAACACATCTCAGCAGCCATCCATCTCTTTGGAGACCTGGTCTGGAATTACACATAATCTTGACTGGGCAGAGCCCTGGGAACCCTCTTGTCTTCAGCTCCCCAGTACTGGGATTACAATCCGATGCCACCACTCCCAGCTTTTCCTGAATCCTGGGGCTCCAACATGAGTCCTTATGATTGTGAGCCAATCACGTTACTGACTGACCATCTTCCTGGCCCACACCTGAACTGAAAACACTTAGCATTTGAGAAATTCTTTCAAACAGAGGGTCTCGTTAAGCTGAACTGGGGCGGAGAGATTTTAGAATTTTGGGAGTGGGAGTGAGAATTCATCAGAGAAGAACATTAAGTAGCAGGATGGCTCAATGAGGGAATGAAGTCATCTTAGATGCCCCCTCACTTACCAGTAGTATTTGTGGCTGGGTATGGATTTCGTCTCTCTAAACATGAGGCAGCAGGGAACTCACAGAAAATTAATAGCTGATGCGTCTTCTCCTAAAGAATAGGAAATCTTAGACCTGTGCAGAGGCCTGGGTGTCTGTGGGAGGGTTAGCGCATGATGCAGAACTTCCCAGGGGTTCTCTGTCTGCCTCAGAAAAACTGGGAACCATGCCATCACCACCCCAGCCCCCAGCATGCACACACGTGTTATATTACACAGTAAATGATCCCCTACATTGAGATCTTACACCATGCCTGACACTCAGTGTGTCTCCAAATTACAAATTGTCCAGCTCTACCCAAAGACAACCATGGACACCCCTGAAAACACAGTGGAGTCATGGGGAGCTTAGAGAATACGTGAGGCTTTATATTTGGGGGACACAGCACCCCTGATGGCCACAATGTGAACTGCTGCTAATAACTTAGAGACAAGATCACTCACTTCCCTGGCTTAGGAGAGCCATGGAAATGACACGGAGTCTCAGACAGCAAGGAATGAGAGGTCAGCCTTGGAGTAGAATCAGGACAGCTTGCTGTGGGAAGCTCCCTGCAAGGGGTTCAGTGGAGGGGACCCAGAGGGTGATAGCCCAGAACTGAACTGGGAGGGCGGCTCCCCAGAAACCTGTCTTGATTATGGAGTTCCCCAGCTTCAGGCATCTGTCCAGTGGGGAAGAAGGGCCACCACAGAAGGACTTTCTTGAAAATGGCAGTGTGGGGGACAGCCCAAGAGGACCTCAGCCACAACTCTACCCAAGATGTCTTAATCGATGCCCTACTATGTAATGGACCTTGAAGTTGAAAATCAGCACTTGGGACAACAGGGAATGTCCCAATATCACAGAGTGATTTTGCCATGTGCCATCATCAAAGTCTGATGGTATGGCCTGCTGCAACCACGCACCTGCACATACTTAAGGCATAGCCTACTGCCTGTCTGTACTACTCAAGTGTGCACATGAACACAGCCACATACTCATATGTGTTCCCTAGCCTGTTGCCTAACCACTCTACAAGCTCAGGACACACACACACACACACACACACACACACACACACACACACACCGCCATATCTTATTATTCTTAGGACCTGGTCAACCAAAACCACATGATAATACTTTAGGCACTAAGGAAAATTACTCACTAAAATAACACAGTGGCTGGAAAGGCAGCTCAGTGGATAAGGCAATTGCTGCTCCCACCCAAACTTAGGAAGTGACCCACATGGACCTGTAACCCCAGCACAATGGATGACAGAGACAGGGGAAATCTAAGACTTGGTGGATGCCAGCCAAGCTCCACATTCACAGAGAGACCCTGAATCTAAGGGAGAAGGTGGCAAAGTATAAAAGAAGACACCCAGTATCCTCTCTTGTTTCCAAACATAGGTGTATAATGTCTCATGGACACACACATACACAGTACTACACAAAATAGGACTGAGACTCTGTAAGCATGAGATACATGTAGAAAACACAGCACACTGCTCCACAGTCAACTCTGACCCAAGCAGGAGTGTACACACATGACAAGTCCCATGCTGAAGATACTGGGCACCACAGTATGGCTGGCCATGATTAGATGACCATGCAGCCCTCTTGTGTGTGGCCACAGTGTGCTCTTTTCTCCCACCACCATCTCCAGACCTGTGAGGAAGGGTCTTCACTAGGATCAGTTGGTGGCAGGAACTTTGCAAGTGAAAGCAGTCCTGAGGTGAGGGAGGATGCATGGATGGATGGGGAGTGAGGCTTCCTGTGGTAAAACTCTGCCCTGTTTTCTGAACCCCACAACCAATGAACATGTTCCCCTTAGAGAGACCAAAGAACCCCAGGGAAGGGCTGGGGTGTAATCTAAGTGAAGCCTCCTTTACAGGCCATGTCAGCGTCTACTGCAAGCCCGACCCTGAGATCTACAGAAGGCTCATCAGGAAGTGTACATTCCTGGACAAGGAGGGCGAGTTCTCCACCTGCTTCACAGAACTTCAGAGAAACTTCCTGAAGCATCGTCCGACCAAGCTGAAGAGTCTTATCCGCCTGGTCAAACACTGGTACCAACTGGTATGGCATCTCGCCCAGCTACCATGAGCTCTATCTTTACAGGGAGTGGATGCAGCCAGAGAAAAGAAGGAGTATTCTAGTTTGCTTTCCATTGACGTGATATTTTTTATCATATAAAAGCCACTTGGGAAGGAAAGGTCTTACTAGGTTACACATCCCAGTCAAAGTTCATCATTGAGGGAAGAAAGGCCCATGATTGAAGCAGAGGCCATTGAGGAATTCTGCCCTCTGGCTTGCTCTCCATGGCTCACACAGCTTGCATTCACACACAGCTAAGGGTCACCTGCCCAGGCATGGTACCATCTACACCAATCACTAATCAGAAACATCTCGCAGACTACCCCAAGTCGGTCTGATGGAGGCATTTTTTTTAATAACGTTTCCCTCCTACTCGATGTCTAGTTGACCAAAACTAATCAGCACAATTGACTGCTTTTCAAGTTGATACACAAAGAGACCACTATTAAACCATAACCTCTCCTTTGTTAATTATCCCTAAGATCTCATGTTAATAATATCAAATTATGAAATACAATTTAGGCTTAAAAGTCTCAAAGTTAAAAGACTCCAACACTTATAAAAATTTGTCTCCACTGTGAATTCCCATAAAATTAAAAACATAAGTTAAATACTCTCTTACCCTAGAGGAAAGAACCTGGGCACAGTCACAATCAAATAATAATAATAATAGCAATAACAAAGGCCAACAGTGCAAAAACTCAGTGTCTGAATCTGGGACTCGGCATTTTCCGAGCTTCAAAGGGCCTGGGCAACTGTTCTCAGACTCTGCCACCCACAGCTCACAGCTGCTCTCACAGGCTCAGGACAGCTCTGTTCACACATCTGCTGTCCTTGGCAGTGATCTCATGCTCAGGGGACCTTCAGTATCATGTGGTCTCCGCTGCAATTGAGGCTGCACTTTCTCCAGCGGCCCCTCCTGGCCTCTGTCAGTGCCAGGCCTCAGCTGCTCTCCATGGCCCCTTCACTCCTGCAGCTTTGATGTACTAAAGTAATACCACCTGGGAGACCTCTCGCATGACCAGATCTGCCACCTGGAGATGCAGTCTTGGAACCCAGACCACAGCTTCTGTGTGTGACCATGAGGAAACTCTTTCCAGAAGGCTTGGCCTCCATGGTGCAGGTCTCTTCTTACTCAGAGCTGACTTCCAGCCCCAGCTGATGGGAAAACACTGATTCTTAATTCTAAGATCTCACACAAACAGCCAGATAGACTCTTTGCCTCCCTCTGGAACTTCACACACCAGCCTCTGCCATCTGCCTCTCTTCATTTGTATCTTCCAGGTTCCCACTAACAGCTCATAGGCTCTAAGCACCCAGTGGCTTTTCCAACCCCAAGTTCCAAAATCCCTCCACTGTCCTCCCGACGAGCAACATGGCGGCAGTGCCACAGCAGTGGTCCGCTCTCTAGGGCCAATGTCTGTCCTATTGCTGTGGTAAAGACGATGGCCGTGGGCGAGCCTCTGGGGTGTTTTCTTGATCAGTGATTGATGTGGAAGGGCCCAGCCCACTGTGGGGAGAGCCAGCCCTGGGCAGGTGGTTCTGAGTTGCTTTTAAAAAGCAGGCTGAGTAATCAAGGGGTATCAAGTCAGTAAGCAGTGCTACTCAGTGGCTTTTGCTTCAGGTCCTGCCTCAACTTCCTTCAGAGCTGGTGTGTGGTGTGTAAGTATAAGCAGACCACCCCTTTCCTCTCCAAACAGCTTTCCTCCATCGTCTTTACCACAGCAATTCTCCTCAAGATGACTCCAGATTGTGTCATGTTGACAAAAAAAAATTAGCACAAATGATGAGAAAAAATATTGGAAAAACAAGTGGGTTAAAGGGAAGCTGAGGGGAGGGGATGAGAGAGAATGAAGGGGTGGGTGGGGATGGTGAGGTAGGGCAATGCTGAGGGAGGGAGAAGGAAGGGGAGAGACAGAACTGAGAGGAAAGAGGACTTTGTTTGTTTGTTTGTTTGTTTTTGTTTGTTTGAGACAGGGTTTCTCGGTGTAGCTTTGGAGCCTGCCCTGGAACCAGGCTGGCCTCGAACTCACAGAGAACCACCTGCCTCTACATCCTGAGTGCTGGGATTAAAGGCATGTGCCACCAATGCCTGACCAAAGGAGGATTTTTTATGCTTGTTCTAATTGATTTTTTCTAGTCCACCCTCCAATCAGTTAACTCTCTGTTTATCCACATCTAATTCACTGTTCGCTGGTTGCTGCTTCATTTGTGTTTTTAGAAACACAAATGTTTTCTTTGGAAACCTTCCATGTTACATTCTATCACTTTGATTTTCATGACCTTTCAGGAAAATATCTCTTCAAACCTGTGATTTCTTGTGTTAGTCTGGGCTTTTTAACCTGTGTGCACTTATACCTGTTCATGGAAGCACATGTATATGTGTTTATGTGTGTGTCCATTAGCATTTGAAGCTAGGAAGTGATGTCAGGTCCTCAGTCACTCTCCAACCTTTATATCCAGGCAGGGCTGATACTTGAAGCCTCAGTGTGCTGAGTCATCAGGTCTGGACCCTCAGATAGCCCTGGGGACCCTCTGAAGGATTATGAGTCAGCTTCCTGAGCATCCTGACCTTCATGTGCATGTTGGGGATCTGAACTCCCTAACTTGTCTGGGGCCACTTCACCCACTGAGCCATCTCCCTAGCTCCTCCCCAGTTATTTCAGAGCCTGTGATAAAACCATCAATAGTGAGCATCATTACTGCCCCCACCTTCACTCCCTGGCTGTCACTCAACAGTGTCATGATTCCTCCTGTGTCTCCTGGCAAATGCTCAGTCTCTGTGGACCACACGGTCTCCATCTCATCCACTCAGCCCTTGGCTATAGCGTGTGAGCATCCATAGACTGAATCTGCATGAATGGGTGTGGCAGTGTGTCGGTTAGCCTGTAATGACAACGTCAGGTGGCCGCTGAACTGACCCCCTGAGAAGTGGTCCCCACACAGCTGACAGCCCTGTTCTTCTCACTGCCTTTCTCTTCTCAGTGTAAGGAGAAGCTGGGGAAGCCGCTGCCCCCACAGTATGCCCTGGAGCTGCTCACAGTCTACGCCTGGGAACATGGGAGTGGATTCACTGAGTTCAACACAGCCGAGGGCTTCCGGACCGTCTTGGAACTGGTCACCAAGCACAGGCAGCTTCGAATCTACTGGACAATGTATTATGACTTTCAAGACCAAGACATCTCCAATTACCTGCACAGGCAGCTCACAAGAGCCAGGTAGACTGTCCCCTCACGACTCAGCTCCTCACAGGGAGTATAGGCTGCCCAGTGTTTTGAAAAGGAGGAGATGGGAACCCTGTCACTGTGTTGGCCACTGTCCTGCTGTTCCCTTAGTGACATAAGGACTTGCAGTCCTGGGAGACAGAGATGGGTGCTTCAGTCTGCAGATGGGGAAGGAGACCAAGGCTCTGACCTCATCCAGACCCAAACAATAGAGAGAGGGGGGTACATGGAGTGGGAACTGAGACTTTCCAGCAGTGACAGAAGTCATAAGGGCCGCTAGGCATCACAACTAACTCATGGGTCAATTAATAGCAAATAATACAGTAGATTTGTTGCCCAAGGTAGGGACATGTTGTGATCCTGTGTTATGTTCAGCCTTTACACCTCATCCTTTGAGCCTGGCTGGCTGAATGTTTCCCATCTCACAGATCAGAGAGGCTGAAGGACCCGCCCCAGGACACACAGCTACTATAGGGTAGAGGATTAGATCCCAGGCCTTCCAGGTCATGTCCAAGGATTGCTCCAGGCTTGCTCTATGCGGTGGGGCAGGGACTCAGGACAAACTTTGGGTATCAGTGCTCTGCTGAGCTCCTCCCCTGCCCCTATACAGTGGTACCTGGGGCACCAGTCAGCTGGTCTCTTCCCTCTCTGGATGTTGCCCTTGCAGGCCTGTGATCCTGGACCCGGCTGACCCAACAGGGAACGTGGCCGGTGGGAACCCAAATGGTTGGAATCGGTTGGCAGGAGAGGCTGCGACCTGGCTTCGGTACCCGTGCTTTAAGAACAAGGATGGTTCCCCGGTATGCGCCTGGGATGTGCCGGTGAGACCTTGTCATCATCCTGACCCCTTCCACACAGCTTAAGTCCTTTCATCTCTTTGAAGAATATTCTCACAAAGATGTGGGTTTTTGCTAAAGGTCTTCACACTCCTAGGGAGGCCAGCTGCTCCTCTGTTTTACAGCCATTTTAGCAGCGTTCAGAGCTGTCACAGGCTGGCAAGATGGCACAGTGGGTAAGGCACATGCTGCCAACAATGGTGACCTGGTTTGATCCTAGAATCCTATGATAGAAGGAGAGACCAACTCCTCCTAGCTATCCTCTGACCTGCACCTCTGCACTGTTACACAAATGGACTCTCTCTCTCTTTTGCTCTCTCTCTCTCTCTCTCTCTCTCTCTCTCTCTCACACACACACACACACACACACACACTCACAAATTCACACAAACTCCTTTTTTGTGATTATTTTTTAGAACTTTTATCTTTATTTTTTATTACTTTTAAAATTGCCAATCTAAATCCTACTTCCTCCCCTCCTCTCCTTCCCCTCCTGCTTCCTCCACACACTCTCCCTCACCCCCTCCAGTCTTTTTAAAATTACTTTATACATAATACCAATCAAAATTTCCACTTCCTTTCCTCTTCCCACTTCCCTCCTGATCCCCCCACCCCAGCCCCCACCCCGTCCAATCCGAAGAGAGGACAAGGTACCCTGCCCTGTGGGAAGTCCCAGGCCCTCCCCCCTACATCCAGACTTAGGAAGGTATGCATCCAAAGAGAATAGGATCCCAAAAAAGGCAGTACATGCAGTAGAGACAAATCCCCATTGCCATTATCATTGGCTTCTCAGTCTGCCCCAATGTCAACAACATTCAGAGGGCCCAGTTTGTTTCCATGCTCATTCAGTCCCAGTCCAGCTGGATTTGGTGAGCTCCCATTAGCTCAGGCACACTGTCTCAGTGGGTGAACCAACCCCTCATGGTCCTGACTTCCTTGCTCATATTCTCCCTCCTTCTGCTCTTCAACTGTACGTTGGGAGCTCAGTCCAGTGCTCTGATGTGGTTTTCTATCTCTATCTCCGTCCATTTCCAGACGAAGGTTCTGTGGTCATATATTCAAGATAGTCATCAGTCTGTTTATGGGACAAGGCCACTTAGGGCACCCTCTCTTCCACTGCCCAGGGTCCTAGCTGGGGTCATCCCATAGACTCCTGGTAACCTCTCCAGAGCCAAGCCTCTTGCCAACCCCAGAATGGCTCCCTCAATTAAGATATCTTCTTCCCTGTTCTCATATCCGTCCTTCCTCCATCTCAACCATCCCACTTCCCAAGCTCTCTCCCACCCACCCCTTCTCCCTTCTCTCTCCTTCCCTCAACCCTCCACCACCCCCATGCTCCCAACTTTTGCCTGGCGATCTTGTCTGCTTCCAATTTCCAGGAGGATCTATATATGTTTTTCTTTGGGTTCACCTTATTACTTAGCTTCTCTAGGATCATGAACTATAGGCTCAATGTCCTTTCTTTATGGCTAAAATCCACCAAAAAATGCTTAAGGACATGTTCAACTTCCTTAGCTATCAGGGAAATGCAAATCAAAACGACTTTGAGATACCATCTTACACCTGTCAGAATGGCTAAAATCAAAAACACCAATGATAACCTATGCTGGAGAGGATGTGGGGTAAGGGGAACACTCATCCATTGCTTGTGGGAATGCAAACTTGTACAACCACTTTGGAAATCAGTGTTGCTGTTTCTCAGAAAATTGGGAGTCAACCTACCTCAGGATCCAGCAATACCACTCTTGGGAATATATCCAAGAGATGCCCTATCACACTACAAAAGCATTTGTTCAACTATGTTCATAGCAGCATTATTTGTAATAGCCAGAACCTGGAAACAACCTAGATGCCCCTCAATAGAAGAACGGATAAAGAAAGTGTGGCACATACACTTTAGAATACTACTCAGCTGTTAAAAAAACAGTGACATCTTGAAAACACTATCCTGAGTGAGGTAACCCAGACCCAAAAAGATGAATATGGTATGTACTCACTCATTAGTTGATTCTAGCCATAAACACACAAATTCCTTTCAAACTTACATACATGCACACATACTTCCAAACTTACATACTCACTCAATCACACTCACATTCACACACCTAAACACTCACTCACAGTCACAGACACAGGTGCACTCACACACTGACACACAGAGAGAGTGTGGAAAGGAGACTCGGAGCTGAAGCTACTGACTCAGGAACGCTCAGCTAGGGAGAGGTCGAGCTGGGATTCCCATGGACTCTAAAGCCAGTGCTGAGGTCCATGAAGCAGCCCATCTTTCCTGTCTCATCATCATCAGAGGGCTTGCATCACATCCATAAAGAGGCCCAGAGGAACCTGCTTGGGCCTTTCCCCTCCTGGTGCAGGGGACTTGCTGATGCTAGGGAATTGATGGTGTCGTGGATGGCTGAGCTTAGTGTGAACGCAGGGATGTTGCAGGGAGTTGGAACTAAATGCCAGGTCAAGAAGGAAGTGAAGGGACGTTAGGGATGTGGGAGAAGGCAAGAGAAACTGCAGTGGCCTCTGGGCTGCTGTGCAGCGGACAGTTGGCTGTGCCTCTTCTCTCATTTGACAGATCTGTGAATCTGTGAATGATCCTCCAGTGGGAGGCGTGGCTTCCAGGGCAGTACTATCTACACCCACAAAGGCCTGGGTCCTGAAGTTGGCCAGTTCCTGTCAAAGGGGCCCTGGTGATCTGCTACAGCAGCCACCCTCAGGGCTTGTGTACACCCCCTTCCCAATAAGAATGCTCCTGACATGATTGTGTGTTTTCCGTTGCAGACGGAGGTTGATGTGCCATACCAGGAGAACCAGAAGAGTAATTTTTTCCTTAATCTCTGTTTGTTGTTGTTGTTTTTGTTTCTTTTCATTGTTTCAAGGGCTTCTTCTGCATAGCGCACACAGCCGGAGCTAGCAACCCTTCTGTATTAGTGCTGTGATAACTGCATTGTAGGCCTTGTTATAACCCGAACAGGGATGGTCCTGTAGCTCCTGTGCCACTGCAGGACCAGTATGCGAGTCTCAGGAACTATGCCTGGAGACTTAAAAACACACAGAGACAGGCACAGAGACAGACAGACAGACAGAGAAAGACATGAGGACACGGAGAAAGACAGAGACATGGGCACGGGTCATCCTTGATACAAGAATGCCAAATGCCAAACTTCATTGTGCTCAGGGAAAAGCTTCTATGGGGATCCTTAGCCATGCCCAGCTCTTGGGATTTTTCATCTGCAGGCCTTGTGCTCGGAGCAGCTGCAGGCAAGATCTCATGCTCAGTTCATTCCAGCAGGCAAAGACTCAGAGGCAGGCAAAGAAAATCAAGGGGCCCGGGATCTGTAGCTCCCAACAGTGCTGATGTGCCCTGCCTTCCCTCCATCCTCAGATGGGCAAGAACGGGGCATTTGTCCGCCTGTGAGCACAGCAGCACCTGCCCAGAAGACCCCCGAGTCAGGGGAGGTGCTCCTTTGCTGCAGGCCTTGACCAGAGAGGGCAGGATGCTGCTCAAGGTCCCAGAGGAGGAGTGTCCACCCTGGGATCAGACTCCAGTCTTCTGACCCCTGCCTGCCCACCCTTCTATCCTGTCCTATCACAGACAGCCTTCCTTACAGCCAACTTCATCTGCCTTATCCTCTGACAGTGTTCTCTCGGGAACAAGAGATTCAGAAGGGGAGGGGAGAACCCACGCTTGACTTCTGTCTGTACACCTGTCAGGAGCTTCTCTCCAGTGTCTAATAACAACAATAAACCACAGCCGATGTCATGAGGGTGTGTGAGACGAGCCAGAGAAGTATAGGTGTGTGTGTGTGTTCATGGTTCAACTAGATTCATTTATTGTGCACTTGTTACACGCTCCACATGGGTCCAGGCACTGATGGCTCAGCCATGGACAGCGCAGAAACAAATTACAGCATTTTATTCTGGTAGGTTAGGATCCCTCCAGGTCTCTTATCTATAAATTCATGACAGGAATCCTTGGTTCTTTCTGTTCATGTCCCCAAGACAAGATTCAAGACCTGCCCCATCTGACTCAGAAGTTGTCCCACAACTGCACATGGCTGCGGGGACCTGGGTGTGTGAGCCGTGCACATGAAGATGCATGGTGGCTGCAACATGCAGGCTGGGGTTCGAGGAAGTGCATGAAAAATAAAAAGTGCATTGAATTTTTATTCAAAGGCACTGGTGACTTTGAAACGTGGTTGTCTGGGGTGATGATGAACTTTTGATGTGCTGCATTAAATCTCATGGAGTCTCAGCTTTGTCTCTCTGTTTCTGTCTTTATCTCTGTCCCTTGGAGAGAGGATCTCATTATCTGTCCCAGGCTGCCTGGAACTCTTAGCAATCCTTCTTTCTGCCTTAGTCTCCCCAGCTCTGGAATTACACACACATGTTCACACACTACCAAACTCTACAGAGCGAACTAAATGGTTCCATAGTTCAGTGGTGTAAACCAACAACTCATTTGTCAGACCTGTAACATGAGGGGGCCGCCTTGTTGGGGTATCTGTCCCGCTCAGTACCCCACAGTCGGCAAGCCCCAAAGAAAAATCACACACAGGACTCCAAAAGATTATAAACTGATTGGCCCATTAGGTCAGGCTACTTATTAGCTCTTATAACTTATGTTACCCCATTATCCTTATCTATGTTAGCATATGGCTCCGTACCTTTCTCAGCAGGGCAGGTTACATGCTGCCTCCTCGGTGATCTGTGCAGGAATGGCAAGAGAACTTCCTGTGTCCCAGAAAACTCCCAGTCTCTTTGCTCCACCCCTACTTCCTGTCTGGCTTTCCCACCTATACTGCCTGCCTGGCCAATCAGCGTTTTATTAAAATATGATTGACAGAATACAGACAATTCTCCCACACCACAGACCCATAAATGCCCAAGTCCCTCAACCACAAAAGACCCTTGTGTGTGCTCAAGGGCCCTGCTCACTAGGAGGTCTGGGCGTTGTTCAGGCCCACCTGTTCCCATCCCCAGTGCCCACTCTCTTAATCACTGTGGCAGGGGAGAAGTGGGTCTACTTGGCCCTCATTCATTCAGTTCACATAATAGACATCTTGAGAACCAGAAGCATCAATGTCCAGGGTGGTAGAAGACACTTGTCCCCTTGACTGCAGGACAAGTCACATTCTACCTTGTGCTCTGTCTGAGCCCATGGTGAACCCAGTAATGTTGGTCTGTGATTTAAATCTTGCCTAGTTTGAACCACCCCCCAGATACACAGAGAAGGTTATAACAAACAATGCCCAGGGGATCCCCATGTATCCTGCCAAGCTGAGGGGACCCACCATGTGAGCCATCATGCACCCTACACTAAATCAAGTCTACACGTGATATGGAATGTTCCCATCCCATTCGTTGATGATGGAATGACCCCTTGTGTGGACCTCTGAGAGCAGAAATGGCAGCAGGGGTGTGGTTCATCAGGGAAAGCCTGGCCTGGACTGGTCCAGTGAGAGGCAGTGGAGGGAGCTCAGAAGCAGAGTGCTTACCCAGCATAGAAGAACCATCCTGAGATGCCTGTGGTTTTGATGTCAGAGCCAAGAAAACAGCCTAGGTCATCAAGGCTAAGTTGTTCTCTGTTTCCTAGTGATTCTCTACTTCCATTTTGGATGGCCTTCGTCCCTGTCCAAGGTGAAGGTGGGATTTATTCCTATCAATGGAGATCCAGCTTTCCCAATTCCCTCTGCAGAAGAGCCCTTCTTCCTCGTTATGTGTTCTTGGTAACCTGGTCAGAAGCCACTTAACCAGTCTGATAGTTGACCTTCTCAAATGTTTAGCTTGTGTGAATCTAGACAAAACTCTCCAGCTAGGGAGGTGGGCAGACAGCAGGAGTGTTGATCAGTGAAGGAAGCAGTCAGCAGACATTTCTATAAATGCCCTCAGACATGCCCAGAGGTGTTTCCACAGAGGGTCTAAGGTTGGTGAAGTTGGTCATGAAGATGAGCCATCATGGGCCATCAGAACGAAACACAAGGGATGATGTCTAGAGGGTAAGAGCAATGGCTGTCACAGTAGGTTCCTCCACTTACTGACCTGAATTGAGTTTCAAAGTTAAATCCACTGAGAGCAGATGAAGTGGCTTCCTTGGAAACTGAATCCTTGCAGTACCATGGTGGACAGAGCAATGCCTCCCCTCAATGGAATACTCCTTACTCAGTGGGTAGGCACCGCAGAGCAGGCTGCTCCCAACCTTAGGCAAAGGTCAAAGTTGAAGACTGGGCTTGGAAACTCAAAGTGTCTACCATCATGATGGGGAACCTCAGCCAATCACATTCTGCTTAAGGTGTGTCCTCCTGGGGCCACACAAAACAAATAAAAGATCGAAGTGCCTTGCCACTTCCTCTCTTCCTTTGCACCTGCGCCCTCGGATGAACTTTTGGGACTCTGGTGTAAGTTTTCCTTCATTCTGTTTATTAAAGCTGTATCTTTTATATTAAGCTAGTCTGGTTAATTTTTAACTACCGATCGACCTCTCCCCTTCACCATCAAGCCCTGCCACTCCCCTGGCCAGTATGGATGATAAATCAATACAAACATGGCACCCAGAGGAAGTATGGGGATGAGTACTGTGCTTAGGGTTAAAAGGGCTCTTTTTTTAATATTTATTTATTATGTATACAATATTCTTTCTACGTGTGTGCCTAGAGGCCAGGAGAGGGCACCAGACCTCGTTACAGATGGTTGTGAGCCACCATGTGGTTGCTGGGAATCGAACTCAGGACCTTTGGAAGAGTAGGCAATGCTCTTAACCACTGAGCCATCTCTCCAGCCCCGGTTAAAGGGCTCTTGGGCAGTTCCGGTCTGGAGCAAGCATGACACTGCACAACAAGGCGGTCGGACACAGTGTTATGAAAGTGTCAGTTGTGGACATCCTACTCCACCTGAGAAATGATCCTGCCTTACTATTGTCATGGAAACCTGATCCTGCCACCTTGTTGTTCTTCCCTTAGGCTGCTCATTACTCATTCCTGTAGCCTGCTGTTAACCTTCAAGGTCTCTATCATTGACAAGGCTCTCAGTGGTTCACACAAGAGGTCATTTCATCATGGAAACATGGAATGTGGCCATTATATGCTACATGTAGACTTGCTTTAGTGTGGGGTACATGATGGCTCATGTGATTGGTTCTGTTAGCCTGGGAAGAGACGCAAGGGACCCTTGGGCATTGTTTATTCAAACCTTCTCTGTTTATCTTTCCAGAGTCCATGGGAGTATACAGTAGGTGACAACTAGTATTTGACAGATCAACCTACCAGATGAGTGACTCTCTGATGGGGAGCCTCACTTGACAAAGTCATGAGTCACTGGCTGTAGAAAACAGTTTGTCTTTGTAATTTTTCTCATGAGCCACTAATAACAGCTATGGGTATTTTATCACTGCTTGTGTGTGTTTATCTCATGAAAATACTCCATCTACTGGGCACACATATAGCTGTGGATGGTCAGGAAGATAATTTCTGCTTAAATTTGCAATTCTAATGAATAGAAATAAAAGGATATGTTTTATTACTCAGATTGACATAAGAAAGCAATATTATTCTTAGTCACAAAGATACCTAATTTTAGATTTCAGAACAGAGTCAAAGCAAACTGGTTGCCCCTGGAGATGAATACCTGGTTGTCCCTAGAGACAAATACATGAGGACAATTTCTGTTTTGCTGATTCAAGGTCAGATCATGAAGCAACTTTAGTCAACATAACTTTCTCAGCTATGGACATTCTGTATGTACTCCGCAACCTCAAGGTTCAGTCAGCTAACTATTTATTGTTTAAGTCCTGAATTGCAATGTTACTTTTCTGTCTGGGAACCCTGACCACTCAAGCTATGTGCACAGCCAAGTGTTACTCACTAGAAGGTCAGTGTGACATCCCTAGCCCGAGAGAAACTGTGTGAACAGTACAGCTCCATTTCTTATTGTTTACTCAAGCAGTGCTGTGACCCTGAAGATTTGATTCATATTTGTCCAGCGGTTTTGGATGTGAGATGAAGCCGGAGAGATGTGGGAGAGGGGATGAGAGATGGAGAGAAAAGTGTTATGTAGCTGTATGGAGACAGAAATTTTCAGAAAGGGGTTTTTCAAGATGAAGTGACAGAGAAAGTTACCATTAGAAAGTGTGTACTTCCTTATTTACCCCTCAGATAGAAAAAATCTAGGTCACACTGCATTTGTGGATTTTTTGCATACCCTGGAGGCAGCCTTGAAGCAGGCTCTCCAAAAGGCCACCAGTGATATCTAGGGGTGTTTCAGAAAAGGCAAGACTAGAATTGTTGATGAGCATCATTGGGTTCACCAGAGCTCAGATAGAGCACAAGGCAGAGTGTGATGTATTCTGAGGTCTAGGGAACCTCTGGGTCTTCTCACACCAGGAACACTGGAGCTCCTGGTTTTCAGGGTCACTAGAGTGAGAACTGAATGACTGAGCACTGCCAGGATATCCACTACCCTCAGTTATTAAGAGAATAGGTACTGGGGACAGGAGCAGTCTCTGGGGAATGGTTAGCCCTGTGCAATGCTCTGAACTCTTAATGAGCAGGGCCCATGAGGTGAGCACACACACAGGTCATTTGTGTCTGATGAATGAGCCTCTGGTTCACAACACTACCATGGAACCATTTAGTTCACTGTGTGGAGGGTGATAGTGTTTGTGTGTGTGTATGACAGAAAGAGAGAGAGAGAGAGAGAGAGAGAGAGAGAGAGAGAGAGAGAGAGGAAGAGAGAGAGAGAAAATAATTTCAGAGCTGGAAGACTAAAGTAGAAGGATTGCTGTGAATTCCAGGCAGCCTGGGACACATAATGAGATCCTCTTTCTCTCTCTCTCTCTCAGAAAGAAAGAGGGGCATGGAAAGGAGAGAGACAAAGAGGCAAAGCTGAGACTCCTTGTGATTTAACTCAGTTCATCATCATCACAGACAACCATGTTTCTGTTTTTGTGACCACCAATGTCCAAATTCAATGCATTTTTGTCACGCACTTCATCGAACCCCAACCTGCATGCTGCAGCCACCATGCATCTTCATGTGCAAAGCTCACACTCCCAGGTCCCTATAACCATGTGCAGCTATGGAACAGCTTCTGAGTCAGATGAGACAGGTCTTGAGTCTTGTCTTGGGGACATGGACAGAAGGAATCAGGGATTCCTGGCTTGGGTTGATGTATAAGTGGTCTGGACAGATCCCTAAGCCATATGACATCATAGCTGTACTGGGTTGGTTCTGCTCTGTCCATAGCTGAGCAATCAGTGCCTGGACTAAAAGACATTTAAGGAATTGCTCAACATTCTTAGGCATCAGGGAAATCAAAACAACTCTGAGATATCTTATATCTATCAGAATGGCTAAGATCAAAGACACTGATGACAATTTATGCTGGAGAGGATGTGGAGTAAAGGGAACACTCCTGCATTGCCGGTGGAAATGCAAACTTGTACAGCCACTTTGAAAATAAGTATGACAGTTTCTCAGAAAACTGGGAATCAATCTATTCCCAGTCTGTCCAAGACCCAGCAATACCACTCTTGGGCATATACCCAAAGGATACACATTCATACCAGTATGATATTTGCTCAGCTATGTTCATAGAAGCATTATTCATAATAGTCAGAACCTGGAAACAACCTAGATGCCCCTCAATCCATGAATGGATGAAGAAGATATGTATTTACACAATGGAATATGAATCAGCAATAAAAAAACAATGACATCATGAAATCAGTAGACAAATGGATGGAACTAGGGAAAAAAATCATCCTGAGTGAAGTAACCCAGACCCAGAAAGAAAAACATGGTATGTACTCACTCACAAGTAGATATTAGAGGTAGAGAAAAGGATAACCAGACTATAATGCATAACCCCTCAGAAGCTAAATAACAGGGAGGACCCTACGGGGGCAAATGGATCACCCAGGGAAAGGGAACTAGAAAACATATCCTGAGTGAATATGGGCTTAAGGAGGGGTGACAGCAAGGGGGAAGGAGAACAAGAGGGAATGGGATGGTTGATATGAGTGAGGGATGGAGAAAGAGAGCAAAGAAAAAGATGTCTTGATAGAGGGAGCCATTATGGGATTAGGGAGAAACATGGTGCTAGAAAAAGTCCCAGGAATCCACAAGAATGACCCCTTCTAAGACTCCAAGCAATAGTGGAGAGGGTGCCTGGGCTGTCCTACCCCTGTAACCAGGTGGATGACCACCATAATGGTCATCATAGAACCTTCATCCAATAAATGATGGAAGCAGATGCAGAGATCCACCACTAGGCACTGGGCTGAGCTCCTGGAGTCCAGTTAAAGAGAGGGACGAGGGATTATATGAGCAAAGGGGTCAAGACCATGATGGGGAAACCCACAGAGACAGCTGACCTAAACTAGTGGAAGCTCACAGACTCTGGACTGACAGTGGGGGAACTTACACAGGACTGAACTAGGCCCTCTGAATGTGGGTGACAGTTGTGTGGCTTTGGCAGTCTTTGGGTCAACTGGTAGTGGGATCAGGATTTATCCTGAGTGCATGAGCTGGCTTTTTGGAGCCCATTCCCTGTGTAAGGATACCTTGCTCAGTCCTGATACAGGAGGAAGGGGCTTAGTCCTGTCTCAACTTGATATGTCAGACTTTGGGAGGCCTTACCCTTTCTGAGGAGTGGATGGGGTGTTCAGTGGGAGAAGGAGGTGGGTGGGGAAGGGGAAGGAGGGGAAACTGTGGTTGCTATGTAAAATGAAAAAATACTTTTAAATAGGAAAATAAAACAGTCACATACTCCAAAGACCAAAAGAATAAACTAGAATCTGTAAGCAGAGGTAACTGAACATGTTTTAGCAGTGTGCACTCCAATCAGTACCTTTAAACAATTTAAGGATACTGAACACCAAAGGAGAGCATCTGCAGTTTTCTTGAAGTGTTTGCTCTTAGAGGCTTAAGAGATGGTTCAGAAGTTAAAAACACTGGCTGTCAGGTAGTGGTAATGCATGCCTTTAATCCCAGCAGATGAGAGACCAAGGCAGACAGACAGCTCTCTGTAATTTCTAGGCCAGGCTGGTCTACAGAGTGAGTTTCAGGACAGTCATGGCTACACAGAAAAACACTGTCCTTTTTTGTTTTTGTTTGGTTTGGTTTGGTTTGGTTTTGGTTTTTGGTTTTTCGAGACAGGGTTTCCCAGTGTAACAGTCCTAGCCGTCCTGGAACTAGCTCTTGTAGACCAGACTGGCCTCGAACTCACAGGGATTTAACTGCCTCTTCCTCACTAGTGCTGAAATTAAAGGTGTGTGCCACCACCACCCGGTGAAAAACCCTGTCTTGAAAGCACCCGCACCCCCCTCCAAAAATCCACAACCAACAACAAGAACAAAAAAAACACCACTGACTGCATTTTCAAGAACCCATGTTCAATTCCATTACCCACAGGGAGGCTTTCAACCAGCTGTAACTCCAGTTCCTGGGGGTCTAGTGCCATCTTCTGGTCTTTGTAGGAACTACATGTTTATGTTGCACAAAATACGTGAAGACAAAATTTCTACACGAACTGAAAGAAATGCAATAAACAGTGACCTGCTTTTGTTGCTGCTGCCATCTGTTTATATGTAGAGTTCTTCAGTGTTGTCTGTTAGCACTGTGAGGAAACACATCACCTAGTGAAAGAGCCTGAGCTGCATTGAGACACTGGGACATCACCGGCAGGACTTGCTCAACTTGTTTTCTTATGTAAACCAAAATCACATGGCCAGGGGCTGCACCTCCTACAGTGAGCTGGGCTCTGCAATATCAATCATTAATCAAGAAAATGAACCTCAGACTAACCCGAAAGGACAATGTGGTGAAGATGCTGTCTTGGTTGAGGTTCCCTCTTCCCAGACGACCGTGGCTGTATCAAGTTGACATAAAACACAGATGCAATTCAGTACTTCAGAGCTAAGGCAGAGAACACTAAGGTTTTTGAAGTCAGCCTGTGCTCCAAGGCTAGATCCAGTCTCCAAGCCAACAACAAAATTGGAATCCCTAGTGCCCATCCCCTCATGAACAGCTAAGCCAAGAGGATAGAGAGCAATGATCCTTGAGCATGGCTGCCTGGCATGGCCTTGAATGTTCCTGTTTGGGTTCTGTTTATGTAATGTTTTAGATATGTCTTTTTGCCTCAAAATTCAGTACTGTAAAGGAAGACTTGAGCAATGTAACTGTCCTGGAAACAGTGAAGGTACTCCAAAGAGGCACTGTGCCTCCCTGACTGGATACAAGGAGATTGATTCAGTGCAGACCAGAAATAATGGAACCAGTGCAGGAAGCTCACGCAGGCAGAGGGAAAAGACTGAAGCCAGGCGCTGGACTGAGGAAAAACTTGGCTCCCTAAAGATTCATGGAGTTCTGGTCACGTAGCAGATCACCCTGCGGGAGACACTAGGTCAGAGGGAGTGATGGCTCAGCAGTGGGCATGACCATACCTTCATCAGGATGACTTAGTTTTGCATACTTCTTGCTTTATATTTAAAACTAACTGTCATGTCAGGACCCTAAATATGGAGTGTGGTGTCACTGAACCCCATTATTTGTTCCTCTTCCCAATGTGGCCACTTGAACTAAATAGCCTTTCTCTGCTCTTTATGCCTTTTTTTTTCTTCCTTCTGTTTTTGCATTGAATTTTTCAGTTTCCCATTTTCCTTCAACAAGCCTGAAACTTAAATATGAATGAATTTTATTTTTTTTTTATTTTTGAAACCAATGAGCTGTTTTATTTTCATTTAAATTTTTTGTAGAATTTTAAACCGGTAATCAAAGAATAAAGATACAGAAACTTTTACCAAAGTCTTAAAGTAACTGCGTACTTTTTCCTTGGAGTAAGGAATGTTGGCGAAGGTGTTGACATGGTGTAAACCAGAACCCAGATAGCAATACCTGGGTGCCACACCAGTACGGCAACTGTCGTTCTTCTGAGCAAGGGACGTCAGGATTAACACACAACACAACTTCAGGTTCTGCAGACAAGCCTTTATTCCACTTTCTCACACAGTATATATAGCCCCCAGCAGAGGAGGCCAAGCCAGCAAAAGCAGGAAGCTCATCACCATAACTCAGTGGCTTAGGGGTAAACATCCTTAGAAACATTGCTGAAAACAACAGGTTGTTTCTGTTTTTGTTCCTGTTTTCAACTAACCGCAAGAGTGCAAAACAGATCAAGTGGGGGTGTGAAGGCCTGTCCTCTAGGGATCTAATACCTGGGGATGCAGAAGAGGCACACAGTTGCCTGTGGAAGCCCAAAGGGAGTCAACACTAGTCCAGCCTGGTCCTCTAAGGGAACAGCACAAATAAACATGAGTGCATATAGTTTGCTTCTGTCTGTTACCCTAGCCCTAACCTAAACTTAAATAACCCTAAAGCCCACCTACACATGGCCCTTTCTATACTGAAATGCTCCTGGGCTTTGTAAATGAGTTCTCTGTGTGACCTTGTGAGTGTGGCTGTTAGGACGTGGGCACATGTCCCTATTTGTGCCTTTATCCCTGGAGACACTGGTATAGAGTTGCCCAGCTCGAGGGTTTCTGTGATCATATCCACATGATGGCATCCTAGGAAATCAACTCTAGAATGATCTACAGGGAGCATGTCAGGACAGTGGGAAGACCCTAAGGGGAAATTATTTTTTCTGGCACCCATATGATATCAAAGAAATGGTTTGAAATCTCTTCTGATTTCTCAAAGCTGAGGGTCTGGCTGAAGTCAAGATTCCCAGTTCAGTGTGTGGCTTGAGCACATGGACATAACTGTGTCCCATTGTACAAATGGAAAGGCAAAGGAGAGAAGTTGTCAGCTCTGGTTAGAACTAGAGAAACACTATGTAATGGAGCCTCAGGCTAGAGGGCCCCAGGAAGTGACCTCACTTCCTTAACCATGATCCAGGTAGAACTCGGAATCCTGGTTACCAGGTCACCAGAGGCAAGGGGCAGCCTCAATTGACTCTCTTTACTGGAGGCAGTTGAGCATTTAGGATGTTCTCCCACGTACAGACTTCTGGTGGCTCAGGTCACCAAAAAGCCAAGAGTCGTGGCCTTGGTCACCTTTTGAGATGTTGGGTACGGCCATTTATTCAACACCTCTGGCCGTTTTCCCTCATGGAAGCCAAGGTAACACAAGCCAGACTGTGGCAGAAAACCTTTCTGGTTCCCCCTTATCCCTGACTAGGTGTGTGTTCCTGAGAAAACACTGAGGAACATTCTTCAGTGCATGGTAATGGGTTGTTAATGTCTCTAAGTTTTCATATTTAAACCTCCTTCCTTCTTTGTTCTTTCCTCAGAATCAAAAGGAGCTGGATAAACCCCTCACGTTCAATACCAACAGCCCAGACTACCTGGGAATATTCATTAGTTGTTTACCAAGAGCCTTCAAACAACAGGACACCTCGTGCATATATATATTTTTGGCCATCTACCAAAAATTTTCTACCACCTGGGAGGTGATGGACCTAATAATTGAAATGTGAGTGGCTATACACACGTACAGGCTCTCAAGCCTTCGGGTTTGGTTTTAGGACGGTGTTACTTGTTGTGATCCAGCTGCCCTCACTCTCCCGACAGGCCGTGGAACTTCCTTATGGTCTGTAATTGACAAGGATGTTTGTGTTCTTTCTGGCCCGTGGTTTTCCACTGAAGCAGTAGAGGTATAAAAGACTTTAGCTCAGGGCAAAATAAAGGTTGCTGTTCTTCCACCTGAAAAGAAGCCTCCATGTCTCAATCCCGGCACCCCCACTCCCCCACCCCTCACCCCTCACCCCTCACCCCCTACCCCTGCCAGTCTCCACGCTGGCACAGCAACTCTCCTTTCTTATGCCTTGAGCTGAGCCTTTTCCCCATTGGTATCAAAGGTTCTAGACACTGTCTAGGTTTGATGGAATGAATGACACCAAGCAAGAGTCCCAAGGGGCACCCAAGAAGCCATAGCAGGGGAACCTAGAAACCAAGAAGTCTAGCAGGGAGCAGCTTAGGTTTCACCTATTGCGTGGAGATCCTTGAATAGCTGTGATATTCCTAGGAATAGCTGTGACCAGAGGCTCATTCCTAGACCCTCAGCACTGAAGTCAGAACAGTGGAAAGAGCCCTTAGCACCCTCGTCCCTTTCCCAGCTTCTCTTCCTACATCAGATTCAAGTAGCTCCCTCCAGATCTCTTGGTGGGTTGGGGACACATGAACTTAATGACACCCTCATAAAATGCCATAGGTATGGATCTTTCCGTCCTGACTGTGTGGCGGATCAGGAAAAAAAGACGTGAGTGTGCTTGGGTGAAAAGGGAGGTAAGAACCCATCTGTGGAGTGGGATGTTTGGTGGCTAGTGTTGATCCCCGTAGAGGATGGTATCAGAGACTTCAATGTGTAAGTGGAGAAAAACAGAGATCTCCAATGATCCCTTTGGTTCTGAGGAACATAGGGATGGATGAAACTTCAAGGGCCCTAGGGGAATTCATCCCCACCACAGCTCAGCCCAGTTTGCCCAGTCGGTCCTCTAAGGTAGAGAAAATATCTGGAGCCCTCTCCATACAGCCCCTCACTCCTGACCACCATGCCTAGCAACAAGTGGGCTGCTCAGCATTTTCCTCATCTGAGGGACCAGTGCTGTGCTGGTGATGAAAGGCCTTGCTTCTGACTCTACTTCCCGCCAACCTGCTCCTCCTTGCAGTGCTATATTGTGGTTTCTGTCCTTGTGGCTCAGAAAACACCCCCAGGACTTTTGTGACTATCCGGACATGGCCACCGTGAAGAGGCTGGTGGATTACATAAGGTTGAATGCACCGTCCACAGAGGTTGCTATGCAAACGGAGGAGCTCCTATCAATGCTGGAGGAGCAGGAGTCCACACTAGGTGAGGAGGCCTGGGGTAGGTGCCTGGAAAGGCAGGAGGTGGTTTCGGTGATGGGTTGCACCAGGGAATTCTCCAGATGCCCTGACCTGGAGCCAGAGTTGGACACTTGTCGGGTGAGATGTCCTGTTGTGGAGAAAGGGGGCTGGGGATTTTCTGACTTGAACAGACCTGGTGTGACCAGCAAGGCCATCTCTGGGAAGTTCGCCCCATCCTAGAAACTTCTAGGACACCTCCACTAGTGGCCCATCTCTTTCTGTCTTAGATTGTGGCATCATCAGGGCAACAACACCAGAAGCCCCAGTGCTAGATGCCTCAGGAATGCAAAAGACGCTGCCTCTGAGACCAGCTTCTGCGGCAGGGCCACAGGGAGATCCGAAACCCCTAGAGAATGCTGCAGTTTGGGGACCAATTGTGCCAGAAGCTGAACCAGTACAGCTTCTGAATTTAGATCAGCCTCTGCCTGCATCATCCTATACACTCAATGTGGCTGCAGATGCCCCCACTGCCAGGCACTCATTTCTAGCGGCTGCAGTGCAATTAGGCGACCCAGAACCTGTTTCCCCTCTTCCTGATGTTGACATTTAGTTAGGTGTTTGTCACTTCCATCACCTCAAGTGCCGACACTTCCGGTTTCCAGGGCCACACATGTGCCATCAAACCATCAGGCAACTTACATAGCCACCCAGGACCTCAAGCTCTGTGTGATCTATGTGCAGTGTGGTCATGTGATCTCCGTATGACACAGCTCCATAAGCACCTGTGCACACGCGCTAGGCAGCCTTTAAAAGCTGGACACGCCCACTCCACACTCTCTTGCTGCACCAACTTCCTCAGGGCTGCGCACGTGTGTCTCTCTCTCTCAATAAACTCTTAAAGTAGGTTCCGTCGTGTGTCTTGTGATCCATTTTCGTGCCCGGTAATTTCATAGGTACTAGAAATAACCTGCTGAGTTCCACCCAGAACCAGCTCCCCATATAAGCTGTCCTTTCCCTCTTTAGAGAAAACATCTCCTTTTATTCTGTTTCTTTTTTATGGTTGTTTTCATTGTCAATATCACCTTTAATTTTGTTTAAATCTTTATTATTGTTCTGTTGTTAATCTCTCCTTTAATTTTGTTAAATTCTTTTTTAAATACAATCTTTTCTCGTTTTGCATAGTTATCTCCGTTCTCACTCTCTGCCCAAATCTTTCCCTCAACCCACCCCCACCCACTCCTCAGAGAGGGTAAGGATTCCCATGGGGAGTCAACAAAGTCTGGAACATCACTTTGAGGCAGGACTAAGGTCCTTCCCCCATATCTAGGCTGACCTAGGTATCCCTCAAAGGGAATATGCTCTAAGATGCCAATATGAGCACTAAGGATAAATCCAGGTCCCACTACCAGTGACCCCACAGACTGCCCAATCCTCACTTGTAGGACCCTCAACCCTTATTCTCAAAGGGGCGAGAAGAAATTTCCTAGCAGAATGTTTTCCCAGGAAGATAGTGGCATTCCCTTCTCCCACTCAGGAGATTCCAAGCACAACGTCACGTAGCTCAGCCCAGCCAGCCACCTGGTACAGGCTGATAAAGATGGCCTAACTCTGGAACAGTGGCCTTGTTCTAAGAACAAGGAAAAAGCTGACTTAGTAAAATGGGAGGGCGCAAAAGTCCTTGCACCCATGCCAAAGCAGCTTCCAAAAACCTCTTTGCAGTTATGCCTTTAAAAGTTTACCCCACAGAGGAGATGCAACTCCTCTCTCTACCTTGCTGCAAGGGGGTCATTTGGAGACAGGGGTTCCAAATGTGTTTGTATTATGCTGATTAAACCTTGCGTATTACAGTATGAGCCTTTTTGGTGATCTCTCTCTCTCTCTCTGGGTGTCATAATCTGGGCACAATATTTGGTGTGTTGGCCGAGAACCCCAGAGATTCCACCAGGATGATGAATGTCTGGAGGTTTATTAGCATCTACCGGTAAGAGAGCACTCTTGGTCTTTCGTCTCTTGCCTCTGTCTCTGTCATTTTGTCTTGTCTGTCTGACTATGGCTGCTTTGGTGTTGTACCTGTCGACTGATTTGGGATTTTGGTATTGACAGATGTTCTCTGAAGTGGATGTGCTTGTACAGAGAGACCCTGGAGAAACTAGGGATGCCTTGTGCTCCATTTCCAGACAGTGATGGATCATTTCCAGACAGGGGCCTTCTTGGCCCCGGGTCATTTCCAGACAGGGATGGGAATTCTCCCAGTCTCACGTCAGTAGACAAGGATGGGAATTCTCCCAGTCCCACGTCAGTAGATGGTCATTTGCATCTACCTCAGAGACAGCTGTTTGGGTTTCTCCCGCCTTGGGAAAAAATGTCACTATATGTCTCATTCCGGAAATTTGTCAGTCTCTTTGTGTGATGTTATGGCATTGTTACTTTGTTTTCTTTCTCTCTTGACTTCTATCCTCGAGTATCCTAGAGCCCCTATGGAGCCCCAACCTCTCTCCCCCAGCCTTCAGGGATGGAGAGGAGAGAGCCAAAATCTTGGGGAGCGCCCAAAAGGAACTGAGGACTGAGAGAGTAGGGAGTTCATGGCTTTGACTTGGAATGTCTTTAGGAGCCCCTACATTGGGTGGATGGTGATCCCCTGGAGTTCAGGAAGCTGTTGTCTCCTGTATATTATGTTTAAGACTGGACTGACAAGGACAGAAAAAAAAAAATGGGACAAAACTTAAATGTGAAAATGCAGGTGACTTGACAGCAACCCATCTAGGGTCTGTATCCCTAGCCCTGAGCCAGGTCTGATGGCAGGGAACACACTGCCTAAGTGCTGAGAACTAAGCCTTGAGACTGCGGGAAATGCAATGTGGCAGAGGATCTGGGTGGGGCCTGTGGGGCTCCAAGGCCAGGGAGCAATGGCACCTGGGATAGAGCAGCCTGGATAGCTGAGACTGGCGGGGCATGCCGGGATTGAGACAAAGGGGCTTTTCAGGTGGAAGAACAGCAACCTTTAGTTTGCCCGGCAACCTTTTATACCTCTACTCCTTCTGTGGAGACCCACTGCGGGTCAGGGGGAGTGAGGGCAGCTGGATCACAACAGGTGGCAAAGTCATTGTGCACCAGGCTGAGGTCAGAGGGATGCCTCTTCAGAAGGCAGGGGGTAGAGCTAGTGACTGAGAGGCCGGTTGCAGCAGAACAGGACAGCCTCTCTCTACCTCGCTATAATGGGGTCATTTGGAGACAGAGGTTCCAAACGTGTTTGTATTATGCTGATTAAACCTTGCTTATTACAGTCTGGGTCTCTCTGGTGGTCTCTCTCTGTGGGTTGTAATCTGGGCACCACACTCACAACTGTCCACCACACTCAGGGGGCCTAGTTTGGTTTTTCACAGGTTCCCCCACTGTTAATCCAGAGGCAGTAAACTCTCACTATCGCTAGCTCAGGTCAGCTGTTTCTGTGAGTTTCCTCATCATGGTCTTAACTCCTTTGCTCGTATTATCACTTCCCCCTCTTCTGGCCTGGTTTCCAGAAGCTCGGCCCAGTGCTGCGCTGTGGATCTTGTATCTGCTTCCATCAGATCTTTCTTATTGCTGTCTTCATTGTTAATATCACCTTTAATTTTGTTTAATTCATGTTGATTACTCTTTGCCTCATTAATATTGCCTTTAATTTTGTTTAATTATTTTTATTTTTTATTGCTGTGTGAAGTTTTAATTTTAATAAAATTTATTGTTTAGTCATTTTAAACTGTATGGTTCAGGGGCCTCATGTTTATTCCTTATGTAGTACAATCTCTTCATGTCTAACTGTGGATGGCAGCTATGAGCCAAACATGTGGGTCATGGAAGGAGACCCTTGCAGGCCATCTTAGGAGCAAGGAAAAACAAGCAGTTTGTGGGGCAGAAAGTGGGCAAGTGCCAACAGTGGCACGGACTAGATGACTGTGCTCAGCATCACTTAGGGACACAGATGCTGAACTCTGATATAGTGGGGCTTGAGCACAGCGCCTCCTCCATGGGCTTCTGCTCTGCCAAGCTGGTCAGCAGGGCCATGCAGCGAAGGAAGAGGTCAGCTTAACTGTCATGGTGCTCATCATTCTCACCAACCCTGAGCCCAGAGCTGTGCACACACACTCACCACACCGTGTGACACTGTCACACCCCAGCGAACAGGTTCAAACAGGTGGCTGTCATAGAGAATTGCAAGGCTTTTCCACAATTCCAGGGTGATGAGCCAGTGACGCAGCTGAGCCCACGGACGTTTTACACGTTTGTCTGTGCGAATGGATCAAATGCAGTCTCACTGTTCACTGTGCATAGACAACCTTCCACAGGACACAACGTAGAAAGCACCATCAAAAATAGCTCACTGTTGCTGAGCCAGCACAGCTTGGATGCTGAGACTGGCGGTGCGTGTGTGTGTGTGTGTGTGTGTGTGTGTGTGTGTGTGTGTGTGTGTGTGTTTGCTGAGATTGAAACACGGAGACTTCTTTTCAGGTGGAAGAACATCAACCTTTATTTTTCCCTGAGCTAAAGCCTTTTATACCTTTAAGCAGCTGGCCGGAGACATGCTGAGCAGCCAGAGGTCAAGATCAGGGCATCATGTACTGGGAAGCTTCCGCGGAAAACCACCGGCCAGAAAGAACACAAACATCCTTGTCAGTTACGAGTACAAGGAAGTTCCGCTGTTGGTCAGAGGGCAGCCGGATCACAACAGACTGCAATCCACATGCTAGGCATGTGAGCTGCCACTTACCAGTTAGAGGACATTGAGTGGTGTCAGTGGCCCTTTCAGGGTGTGGGGCAGGTCATTTGGGCTCTGATGAAGGAGGACCCCCACACATACCACATCACTAGGCATTTGGAAAAGGTTATATACGTCAGGTTAGTCCATGTCTCATCAAGAAGTGAGCTGTTAGCCAGGCAATAGTGTGCATGCCTTTGAACCCAGTACTTGGAAGGCACATGCAGGTGGATCTCTGTGAGTCTGAGGCCAGCCTGGTCTACATGGAGAGTTTCAGGTCAGCCAAGGCTACATAGAGAAACCCTATCTCGTAAAAACAAAAAAGTGACTTGCTCATGTTATCTAGTCACCAGAGTTAGGTATGCAATGGTTCTGGGGACTGGAGATCAGGACTGCATTAGACAGCTTGAGAGAGACCCCACCCGGGCTGCAGGCTGGGGACAGGCTTTCCAGATGAACAAGGGAGGCCTGTCCATCACAGAGAACAAAGAGGGGACAGCAGCCAGAAGTGATGTCAGCAGTGGTTGGCTGTCATCCCTACACATGGGGAAAGTGGACTAGTCCATTATCGATGTGTGCAAAGATTCAAGAAGAATCCACAGACCAGTATTAGAGCTAGTAAGTTAATTCAACAAAGCCACAAAGGAAACACTAACACACATCACAGAAAATGAACTCGCCACTCACCTGCACACCAGCCATGCACAGGGTGGACTCCAGGTAAGAGCATCGGCTCGATAGCACATCAGCAGGAAAGTGAGTAATGCTGTCATTCAAACAGCCATCGATCCTGTTACTGTCCTGTCCCTGGCTCTCCGCAGTGTACCTAGTGTTCTCTCCAGAAATACTGAAAGAAATGTAAACAATAGGTAAGAAATTATAAGAGGTAGTAAAAAAAAAAAAACCAAACTAAGGAAAGCCAAGAGATGCAGAAATGCCAGATTCGTGAGTTAAAGGACCATAACTCTTTAAATAGGTGAGACGGGACTCAGTCTGCATATCCCATGTGATGTCTATGGACAGCAGTGGGAATGTTTTGTCAATGTCCCTAGGCAGTTTCAAAGTACGCACAAAGCAATACAGATCGGGCATAGGGAGATGGCTGTCAGTATGCCACCTGCTGAGAAAGTGCAGGGACCCAAGTTTGGATCTCCAGCGTTCAC